TCTCTTCCAATATCACCATGGGTAGCGGTGTAGCCCATTTATATTCTTAGTAATGGAAAAAAGAACTTTGATGCATTTGTTATTGAAATAGTTGGAACCACACCCATGACATCTCTGACCTATCCTCCCTGCTTTTCAAAAAAAAAATCCTGGTTCCAATTTGGGAAATCTCCCACCCCGCACCTGTAGGGAACTGTGCAGCTCTCAGCAGAAAGGAAATGAATCGGCTGCTGCAGTAACTGTCCCAAACTTCCAAAGTTTCCTGTCTATAGGGCCAGGCATAGAAGTGTGGTTTAAATGAGTGATATATCTCTGATAACTGTCTTACTGCCATATCCCCTTTCCTGTCGTTATTCATGGTGCTGTATAGATTTTTACAGCTGATATGAAATCCAATATTTGTTCTATCCTAACCTTGTGACCCAGTATTTCTTGTACTAAAGTTTGAAAATCAACATTTTAATTTTAAATATTTTTGTTTATTTTTGTGTTAAAGTTTATATTGTATATAGCCAGTCATCCATGCACCTTGATGGGATTGTAAGATAATGGGGGATTTCAAAAAAAGTTGTTACCAATATGTTATTGCTATCCTTAATGCTTCTATTCTGATCAATTGCATACAGGGAAGGGGAGGGGAGAAATAGGAGGAAAAGATTTTCTCTATTATAGGGGTGTGCAAAAAAAAGAAGAAACATAGATAGATAGATCTTTATTGATCCCCGTAGGAGAAATTCAGGTGTCCAGTAGTAGCAAAAACAAATAATAAAATTGAAAAAAGCTTACAATAGTAATAATAAGAAACAGCCGTTCAGGTCACAGCAAAGATGGAGTAGCCTCTGGGTGGAGCAGGACGAAATAGATGAAATGTATTTTTTTAATTTAGTAATCATGACTATAATACAATCTTAAGATTTCTTTTCTGATAGTGTTATTTTTTATAATTTCATTCAATGTTTTTGGTTCTAAATGAGTTTGAGAGAAGGGGCCTAAGGCCTTTAGTTTTTACTGAGCTGTATTGTATGGTATGGTTTATGTATGTTACTGGCAGGCTCTGAAATTGAGCCCTGCACGGCCTATTATCTGGGCCCGAGCCCGGCCCTGGCCCGAGGGGGTGGCGCCCCAGCCCGGCCCGACCCGACATGGTTTCTGAATTCTCAGGCCCAAAACCCGTATCAAGCCCAACTTTTTTTTTTTTTTACCTCCCATAACAATGTTTTAGTGTAATATATATAGTGCCGCGCACTGATATGAACACAGGCTTGGTTAGAGTTATACATGGTAGTGATTAGGGATGTAAATATGTAAATCGGTGACCGTTTAACCGGTGGTTGACCGTCACAGCGTTAACCGGTCAAAGCTGTCGGTTAAATAAAAGAAAAGGGGGAGAGGGGAGGTCTCTTCTTAACGCTATTTTAAGCCCTATTTGCACGGTGTGGCGGCGGGTCTGTCTCTAGCTGTGTGCGCCAATGTATCAGTAAACTCCGGGCCGACTCTCATGCCGCACGCGCCACATGCACGCACGCGCGCGCGCTTACATTTACACACACACACATACATACATACATATACACACACACATGTATTGTACACACATACATGTGCACACATACATGTATTTTTGTACACACACACACACACACACACCGGTCTGTCGCGCTCCTCTGTGTCACGCAGCCCAAAGTATCCAAATACGCGGCTCCAGTCAAATGACATGGAACATGTTTGTGCTGCTGGTCCTTGGCATCAGCTCCACACACATCACTTTTAAACTTTAGCGAAGACCTGCAAGACGCGGCTCGTCACTCGCTGCTCTGACCATGTGAACGAGCCGTTGTTTGCTGCTAAAAAGTGTTAACCCGCAGCACAGCAGAATGGAAAGATTAAAAAAGCAGTTCTTTGTGCGTATAGGTGCCAAAGCTGTTGCGGGTTTTGGCGCCGCTGTCTCGGCTCTGATCCAGTAGAACGCAGAGCTGCACTTTTGAGAAGTACGTGGCTCGAAATGGCTGTTATTTCAAAGAACGTGGACTATTTTAAACTACGCGGTTAACCGGTTTCAACCGGTTAATGAGGCTCGGTGGTCGGTCATGAAAATTCATAGTTTTTTTACATCCCTAGTAGTGATGTGCTGCAATGAGTTCTGTGTGTACGGAGTGAACGGCCGCAGCTGCATGACACAGATGCTGCAATAACCTACCACACACTTGAAGGTTACGCTATGTGTCGTCAATGACAATACTATACAGAACAACAAACACTACAGCGTAATAGAACGCTATATTCATTGGGTGCGTTTGTGAATGAAATCTGCCGCTCTGAAAATGAATAAATAAAAGTGCCCGGCCTGTGTCCGAGGTAATAATGCCGTCATCGGCCCGAAGCCCGGTCCTCGGGCTGTCGGGCTGTTTGACTGTCGGGCTGTTTGACTGTCGGGCTGGCGAACGATGGAGTGAGTTAGAATATGGGTTTTTTCTAATATGTAAAAAGACTTTCGCACACATAAAATATAATTCTTGTACCTGTTTTTGAATGAATAACTGCTTTTGCAGTGAATGCAATTTGAGCCAAATGGATTTGGAAACTATTGCCACTCCCCTTTTTTAAAGTTGACCAGGAATTTCTGGTGGACTAACAGGCATCCACTATAGTAGTAATGCCAGTTTTAGCCGTTTGAGCGTTGATGCTATATATAGAAGCAAACTTAAGCTTTCCAGTTTACAATAGTAGAGTCGGAGCCATGCACGTTACAAACAGCAGCTGTTCTCATCGCCGTAGCCAGGCCCTCTGTCAGGAACGATGAAGGCTACACATGCAGTAGCTGATAAACATAGATGTGTAGATGTATGTCTGATCATCCCATAATCTGACGAGCCCAGAATAACTGCGGCCCATTGGCTCTTAGTGATGTATTTGTTCCTGCTTGTACGAAATCCTATCTGCTGCCAGCTTTACTGTCAGAGAGTGATGCATCTTCACCAGTGAGTCACTCGGGACAAAAGGTTAGCGCGTTTATGACATGTGGGTGTTTGATTTCAGGCTCAAAGTAATGGTATGTGATGACTCTTCACATAATGAGGTGGTGTATGTTGTCATAGGTTTGATTTTGGAGAAACAAGCTGATTAATTATGTTAGGATACGTTTCTTTGACACTGGTCCTCAAAGTCATATATAGAAGTCAGTGGAAAATATTTTGTAATAACATTTTTTTTTTGGGAGACGGGGAAGACAGGGTTATGAATAAATGCCTGTTGTTATCCACAGAAATAGGACATTTTTTGATTTGGCACAGATTTCCCTCAGTTTGCCCTTTCATTTTGAGCACAATTGTGTAGCCTTCATGCAGATTAATGACCTTGATGTATTGATATATGAATATAAAACTAGAAAATTACTTCTAGAGCTCAGACCTCTACCAAGAAGCGCAGTTCCGTTCCTTGAAAACTTAACCCCATGGTGGTAGGTAATGATATAGACATGTCATTGCACTCATTAGTTTTAGTAAGTACTGTATGTAAGGATGTAAGAAGTAAATACGTGTGTGTGTGTGTGTGCGTTTTCATATATACATCAATTTGTAATATATTTTTCTAATTAATAAATGTTTTGTTTAAATTAACAAAACAAAACACAGGGGACACTTATTGTTTCAATATTGGGTTACAGCCCTAAAAAATGTAATTCAAATCAATTTTTAATTTTTTTTTTTTTTTTACACACCCCTAGCAGACCATATATATAAAAATATATATAATTTTGTTGTTGTTGTTAATATTTGTTAATTAAAACAGCTTCTTTAGATTCCCTAATATTTATTCACTACTCTCAAAATGTTTTTTTTTTTTGCCGATATATTTTCCTCCCCGTAATGACATTCCAGCTCACATGCGAGAGTAGGGGAATTCAGCTTGCCCTTGTTTACGCCTTCAAAAGCCCAAATGCCACTGGGGGCTTCTGAATTGCTCCTGTGAGACTGGCCTGAATGGGCACATTTATCCTGGGGTCTGCATACACTTCCCTTTTTATTGTCCTAAACGTTGCCACATTCCTGCCCCGAGTCACTCTGCGCAGGTTGCTGGTGGTAAAGTCTTCACAACGTGGTTCCCCCTACACACTCGCAAGGGCATTTCTAATCTGATGGAGACAATAATCAAAATAACTGTTGCAATTCAGTGTTTGATGTGAGATTGGCTTTATGAAAAGTTAAAGATTCTTGAGCTGAATAATTGTAATTTTCTTAATTGTTTTGGTGAAATAACAAATATTATTGCATTGAGGGGTGAGTGACTATGAAGTTTTTCCCTGATATTTTCTTTTTTAATTTGACAAGGGCTGTAACAAGTTACTCATTAATAGCAACTAATTGATTATTAATTAGTTGGCCATAATTATTAGTGGACCATGTACAGCGGTCCAGAGGTGGGCCATTTACAGTGGTGTGCAGTACAACTTCAACAGTTGTAATTGACATGAATTGAACAAAAGCTAAACCTGAGCATTATTGCATTTGCCCGTGACCGATTTGGATTTGCTCAAACCTTGATTTGGTCAGATCTTATCTGGATTTGGTCAATTCAATTGATACACGTTGCTATAATTCCATTATGTTAACTTTTTTATCCAACCTCCCCACTCTATCAAATACAATATGCAACAGCCAACAGCCTGCTGGGTCAAAATCCATGTTTGGTAAAACCCACATGTGAGGAGTCCACATTCCCTCACTATGATTCTTTCATGCTTTGTCCCGTAAGGGTCTGCTGTAATCGACATTAGCGAGCAGTGGTAATGTGACAAGCCACACGGAGAGGAAGCTATCTGGAGAATGCCTGATGATGAACTTTGCTGCCAATGCCAACTTCCCCGAAGCCATGACAGCCCCAGACATACTTGTTCTATTGATAACATCATCTTTTACCATATAAAGAGCTGACACAACAATGGGGAGAGGTGGTGTCGTAATCACTGTTAGTTTGGTCGTGACTTTTCTTTTCTCTTACAGAATTACAATTGTAAGCTTCATCCATCCAAGTCCATCGTACGAGCCTGGACTGCGCACCTCCAAGCCGGGACGAGCAGAGGGGAGGTTGACTGCACTACCATGAACGTCACCTCGCTGTTTTCCTTCACCAGCCCGGCAGTCAAGCGGCTGCTTGGCTGGAAGCAGGGGGACGAGGAGGAGAAATGGGCAGAGAAGGCAGTGGATGCCTTGGTGAAGAAGCTCAAGAAGAAGAAGGGAGCCATGGAGGAGCTGGAGAGGGCCCTGAGCTGCCCGGGACAGCCCAGCAACTGCGTGACCATTCCACGCTCGCTGGACGGAAGGCTGCAGGTGTCGCACAGGAAGGGGCTGCCCCACGTGATCTACTGCCGTGTGTGGCGCTGGCCCGACCTGCAGTCCCACCACGAGCTCAAGGCCCTGGAGTGCTGCGAGTACCCTTTCGGATCCAAGCAGAAGGACGTGTGCATCAATCCGTACCATTACAAGAGAGTGGACAGCCCAGGTAAGAAGCAGAACAATCGAGATTGACAGTCTTTTGGTTTCCATTTTCTTTTATCGATGTTTTTTTTAAAGGGGTCGTATAAAATATTTTAATGTTTTCATAAATTACATTGACATAATTTATATGCGACCCCAGATAATAGGTTGACATGTACAAATCAAATTTGACCTTTTCTCTCAACAGTTTGAAGTGGAGTTATTCTTAATCAAAAATACAATGTACACTGATATTAAATATGGCCACTAAAACTGGTTTGGTGTTAATGCTAGATTTGTCGGTTTAGGGGTTATCACAAAATGCCTGGATGGATATTAATGGAATAGGCTCATATTAAAAAGGAGATGAAAATGGAACCTTAACCCTAACACCAAGATATCTAGTCTTTCATATGAGACTCATATTTTTTTATCCTTGGTAGGGGTGTAACAATACGTTTTTAGAACAATACGATCCGTATCGATATGAGAGCAAATGATTTCAATGAAAATTATATCTTAATTTTTTTAAACGATACAATTCGATACGATACAGTAGATTTTGAACGATATATTGATACAGTAATATTGGCTTTTTCTGTAAATTTACTTTTTTCAGTAATTCGAACTTAGTGCTGAACGAGAATTACAACTTTTTTTTTTTTTTACAAATTTAACAAAAAACTATTTTGCCCAAGAGCTAACTTATAAATAACTCGCATGAATGAAACATAATAAAACAGATGTATAACAATGCAGTGCTTAACAAATGTTTACAGCACCACCTAAGTGTTTAAAATTGAATAATAAATATTTTTCAATTCTATAGTGGTTAAATAAGAATAAATCTGAAGCTGGATTTGATGGAAATAAGTCCAGACTTCACAAGGACTATTTCGTTATTCCAATTGATTCTTTTCTTAATATTAAATAAAAATGATACTGTTAATTTGAAGTTCTTGATATAGTATTACTAAGTTCTTTATGTTGTCATGACAGGTGGCCCAAAACTTTTGTTGAGCAGAGAGCACTGTACATTCTAGTGCTACGTATTAAAGCCTTTAGCTCGTATAGAACTTTGAAAATAGCAGCAACACTTTTTTGGTCTCCGCTCTTGCACCGCAGTCACTGTTTTTGGATGCTGAAGAGAAGCGTAGCGAGAACAGTAGCTCTACAGAGCCAATCGAGCTTGTGACGTAAATTTACAGCGATTAAAACGATGTAGTGTCGATGTGCGTCTAGGATCGAGGCCAAATAGCTGAGCACCGATCGATGTAGCTGGATCGCAGGCGAGACACATCGATATATTGATTAAATAGATGTATCGTTACACCCCTTGGTTATTTTTGTGTATTTACCTTTATAACATTATTTCTTCTAGTATATTGAACATATTATTATTTGTTATGTTATATTATTTAGAATACGAGTTTGGATGTTATTTTTGGTAGGTTTTCAGAACAAAATGTGTTATGCAGAGATTTAAATCAAACTGATCCAAAGATTTTGATTTCATTGTTTGAGTAACCAAAATGCTTTCCTGAGAAATATAGCTTTAAAAAGAGCTGTAACATGTGATGGTTGGATGTTGGCTGGATTGGAGGAGGGTCAGGCCAAATGGAGATATTTTGCCGTAAAAACATCTCCCTAGCCCATCTGTCCAAATACTAATTTTTAAAATGTCTTTACATGATGACGAATGCTAAGACTGCAATCTCACATATAGAGCCATTTTCTGCCTCTCAAAACAAAAGTGTTGCCTCTATCTTTGTTTTGGGAATTTCTCCTGTCAATTATGGTATTTGACAACTTTTTTTGTTTTGTTTTACTTATTATCTCTAAACAACCCTCTGCTTTTACCCACATTATGAAATCAAGCTTTCTTTTTTAAATCTCTAAATTGAAAAACTGACTTTTCTCACTGAAGACGATGGAAAAGTTGGGGGGATGGCCCTAGAGTAGTTATGGAAAAGTCATGAAGGAAAGTAAGAATCTGCACAAAGCCTGTCAATATAAGTAATATCTTGCTTATTCAGAAGTGGTCAGCGAGAGAGGTTAAAACATCATCAAGTGTCCATGTACTGTAAAAGATTATGCACAAATCTGTAGCTTGAAATGTCCTCATTTCTATTGAGAAAGGACACGTCCATTCCCCTTTAGCTGCATTATGTGTGTCTGAAAGTGGCTCTACATTAGCCTTTTATTGAGTATGTTTTTACATGTGTAATCTAATAGAGCTAAGACAGACTGGACTTCTAAGTATTGAGGCTACATTAACAATTTGAATACATTTGAAATAGAACTTGCTAGATGGAGCTACTACATCCAAATAGTTTATTTAGGGTCAGTGCAGTGTGTCCAAATCGGAAAATGAATGCAATGCCTCTCACCAAAGTCATTACTTTAAAGAAGAGATATTGTGCATAATTATAGGCCATGGCAAATAATGAGATTTGTAATTTCATGTCTTTTCATCTGTAACTACTTTTTTCCAAATTCAATTATTACTGGCTGCAAACAGATGGATGTAATTCCACCCGAAAATTTTTTTTTTTACGTATGCCTTTTTGTTTTAAAATGCAGAAAACCGCTCAGAATGTGATGTCATAGTGGTACAATGACATCATACTATTACTGGACTGAGGCGGGGGGCTTCTAAGGGGCAGACTTACATGTTTGTGACAGAATTTCCTAATATTGGCGTGGATGGATCTAAAAACAACTTCAGTTCTGTTTTTGACAAGGAAACAATGTTGTAACATGTTATAAGCTCATAATTATCAGCAATATGTGTCTCCTTTAAAAGTTGCTAGGGACTTAAAAGGGATCTATTTTCATTTTGTTGGTATATTGTGGTCTTTTTTTTGATAGATAGTTTTTTATCAATAACTGGATCTATGGTCCGACCGGGTCCGACCAGGTCTGAACCGTCTCGACCTGGTTTGCGGATGCGGTCAGTTTGAGCTCGATGGTGCCACCTGAGTAAGTGCAAATAAGTGTTAGCGAAGATAGCGCTAGGGATGAAGGAATGGATATCACGGACATCGTAGTGCAGTGAAAAGTTAAGAAGTGTAAAAGTGACTACCGTGAAATGAAAGATCCCAGCCGTAAAAGTGGACAGAACCAAAAAGTCTGGAGGTGGTTTGACAACATGGATTATTTTTACGGACATCAGCTAACACGCTAACACCAGCTAACACCGAGAGAGAGGCCTCAACTCTATGTTGAGTTTGAGAGAAATGGTGAGTTTCTTCAGAATAAGACCATATATGTTTGCATTTGATTGAACATGTGTCTGTGGTTCTAAAGTCTAAAACATGATAGTATGTGTCATATCTATATCTTTTACGAAACGTAGTTAGAGTGAAACATGGATTCATGGTTTAATGACAGTGTTTTCTGCTGAATACTGGGTTGAAACTTTTAGTTGGAGCTTGATAGAATCTAATAGATCCATGGATAGAACTAATTTCGGGTGCATCATGGACCTGGCGCTGGTGTCTTCTCTCAGTTTGTTTGGACGTCGCCTTCTCTGAATAAGTCAAAGGTCGTAGGGACTGCTGTTTACACTCCTCTTTCGGTAACTTTCATTGCTGCATCCCGGGGGCATGCAAAATACACCCATTTTACCTTTTTTCTCTACAGTCTTATTTGTGTCGCAGCAGAACCACAGTCGTAAACACTAAAGCCGCGTTCAGACCGCAAGCGCCCAAACGCTGAAGCCCCGCTCACCAGACGCGCATTCTCTAGTTTTCAGACGCAGGGGTCTTCACACAGCTTGGCAGGGTGTCTGTGTTCAGAGACCTTGCACGGACTTTATGGAACAGCAGTATGTATTCACGGAGGTGCGCAATAAGTTTATTTTATTATTAAACGGTACTTCCGCATCGGCGAACACACTCAAAGCAGTTGCATATAGTCACGGGAGCATGACAACGCATATATTCACAAGCACAGAGTCCCCCATTGTCAACCCTGGTTTAGTCCTGGTTTAGTCCTGATGTAGCTCCTGTTTTGGCTGTTAACAGTATGTTCAGTCTGCTCGCTCAGTCCGCTAATGTCCCCGTGACCTGTTTGCGGCTCTCTGATTGGTCGCTGCACGAACGTCCCGAGGAAAGGTTGAGCAAAGTTTATCTCCTGTGGGCGTCGATTTTCCGCTCCTACTCTGCCCCTTTGACTTTCCCGCACAGTCCGTGCATCTCTACTGCGCGGTCCGTGCGTACGTGCCGAGAGGTCCATGCGTTTTGACGCTCGAACGCGCGTCACCATTGACTTTGCATTGAAAGCATGATCCGGTCTGAACGCGGCTTAAAGCGAGAGCTTCGACCCCTACAACTACGTCATCGATGTTCTGACCAATCAGAGGCGTTCATATTGAAAACATATTTTACTGATTTAACTCTATGGTACAATTTTACAAAAAGCTCTCCATTCAAAAAGTATTGCCTAAAAAAAGTCTTGTTTGTGACTTTAAATTCCACATAAAAGATTTCAACCAGCAATTAACCAAGATAAAATTACTTGCGTCTGTGCTATGTGCTGGATAAACTTGCCCTGAAAATATTTTGGTCTTGTGCAAAACATCTGCACATTTTTTATTTTTCGTAGAATTGATTTAAGAATTTGGCCTCCTGAATTCTAGGAAAAATATGTATCATCTACAGTCGGCATAGACAAAATAAATCAGACTGCATTTGGCCTCTCACTAACCAGAAAACACAGGTCAGCTGACAAGATAGCAGCAGCTGTCTGCAGTGTGTGCGCTGCAGGAAATTCCATCTCTCCGAGAAAGAGGGCTTTGTTTGGGGCCATGCGTTGTGGGCCTGGCCGTTTGAAAACTCCTCTGCACGCTCCACTGGGGAGGGTCCAAACCACAAATTCAGTGGTTACGATTAGCAAATCATACGGGCGGCCAATTTTTGTTTGTTGCCATTTGCAGTAAAACCACATTGGACTACATTTGCAATTACAGTGTGCACAAGACGGGTACATTAAAAAACAAACTAAAAAGTGCAGGAACAAACT